TCCCAGCACATTGTGAGGCCAAGGCAGTGGATCGCTTGAGCTCAGGAGTTCAAGACCAGCCTGGGCAAAATGGTGAAACTCCGTCTGTACAAATAACACAAAAATTAGCCAGGAGTAGTGGCACGTGCCTGTAGTCCCACCTACTTGGAAGTCTCAGGTAGGAGAATTGCTTGAGCCTGGCAAGTGAAGGTTGAAGTGAGCAGAGAATGCACCATTGCACTCTGCACTCCAATCTGGGTGACAGAAACTTGGAGGTTCACATGCCTAGAAGATAATTTCTTTTGCTATTTATCTAGCAATCACTTGTTGCCTTCAATAGAAATAACTAGTTGTCATAGCCTACCCTGTCTCTGCTGCCAAATTCTTAGTAAGTACCTATTATGTGCTAAACACTGTGATAGACAATGGGGATACAACATTCTGCACCTTCTCTACAACATTCTCTCCAACGGTCTCTACCTTCAAGGAGCTTACATAAAAATACTTTTAATCCAATTTTGTACTTAAGAATAAAGACTTCTTAAAAGATGCACAGATTTACTTTATACTTAAATGTTTGGTTAACACAAGAGTTTTGTTTAATTTCTGTGTGCTTTTAAAAGTTTTCATCTTAGCGAAACCTCATCTCTATAAATAAACTACAAATAAGCAGGTGGCTTGCACCTGTAGACCCAGCCACTGGGGATGGGGCTGAGGTGGGAGGATCACTTGAGCCCGGGAGGTCAAGACTGCAATGAGTGGAGATCGCACCACCACACTCCAGCCTGGGTGACAGTGATACCCTGTCTCAAAAAAATAAAAAAGTTTTCATCTTTTAAAATCAGCTGATTAAGTTGGATTATTACCATAATGGGTAGTATCCATCATGAGGTATAATCAGAATCTATATAGTCAAGTGAACTATTTTCCATAGTTTTGCAACAAATCCAAACTTTTCTACTTGGTTAACAGTTGTATTACCTTATCTGAAACTAATGTAAATCCCATAGCTGGGATTGATCCAGCAATGTTCACTGAGCACCTACTCTGCACCATGCACGACAGGGATGCAGCAATGAACAAGACACCTCCCAATCTGAGCCCTCAGGGAGCTTCTGACAGCTGCATTCTATGTGGGTCCATGGCAGAGGATACAGAGACACTTCACTATCCCAGCAGCCAGGGTCCTGCAATGCCCAAAGTGGGCAGCATAAAGCCAGTGGTCTTACAAAGTAGAATGTAAGGCCAATGTGAAATTCTTGTTAGAAAGGGAATGAATGGCATGACTATTCATGGCTCACAAAAGAGGATTGTCATAAAGAATTCATGGTAAGAGATGAAAGAGGAAAGACTTAAATAGAAGATCTGACAGAACAGCTTAGAAGGAGATTAGAGGAACAAAAGGCAGAACAAAAATTAGGTACTTATTTTTTTTCCTCTGTCACATAGGGCAGTATCTGGAAACTGCAGATAGTTTAAAAGAAATAATAATAATAATAATAATAATAAAAAGCAGGGGGTGTGAGAGGACCAAATAAAGAGATGGGAAAGTTTCCAGAGAAATGAGGTCAAGGAGGAAGGCTGGAATAAGACATTAGCTGGGGGTAGAGGGGTGGGAAATGGAGATTAGAAATTAACAATCAATCAACATAGCTAGTCAACAAATACTTATTGGGTGCAGAACTTCATGCTAAGTCATGTATGAATTAAAATCATTTGTCATGAAAGCTGCATTATGCTTTGCGATCCTGGATTCCTTTTTTTAAATTTTTTTATTTTTGAGGCACAGCCTTGCTCTGTCACCCAGACTGGAGCTCAGTGGCACGATCTTGGCTCACTGCAACCCCCACCTCCTGGGTTCAAGTGATTTTCCTGCCTCAGCCTCCCAGGTAGTTGGAACTACAGGCACCCACCACCACACCCATCTAATTTTTGTATGTTTAGTAGAGACAGGGTTTCACTGTTGGCCAGGCTGGTCTTGAATTCCTGATCTCAAGTGATCCGCCTGTCTCGGCCTTCCAAAGTGCTAGGATTACAGGCTTGAGCCACCATGCCCGGCTGTGATCCTGGATTCCTTTGACTTTTTAGATTCACCACTCTAACCTAAACCATTTAGGTTTTATCGATGTCCAGTCAAGATCCACTGGTGATGAATGGTACTCTTCAAAATAGGAAACGATGCAGCCTAAAATCTAGAAATAAGGAAACCTTTCTCTTGGCTTATCCCCAACTCAAAGACACTTGGTTGTAAGTTTAGAAAGCTAAAAATTTTAATAAATATGAGCCTCTGAAAGGATGGCACCTTCTCATTTCACAAGGTTCTAAGAATCAACAAATGTTACTTACTAATTGTAAATATATAAGATGAGTTAAAGGGCAAAGACTGAACTATCACAACAGAGAAACACAAAGCAGTAGATACATCAAAGGAAAACCATTTTAAAACATAATTTATAAATCTGAGTTCTGGGGAGAAAATTGGTTATAGTCAGTAGTATTCATTGTTCAAGGACTTCTGATTTATTTTCATGCTCTGCACAATGTGTTAATGCTAGATCATGCAAATGTTCTAGGACAGTTTATTCTTTATTTACTTAGAACTAAAATAGGGCAAGAGAACCCAGCTTTCTGGACCTAAAAATTTTCAAAGCAAAACAAATGCATACTCTTCCGAAGGAATCATTTGCACCCCCTTCCCATGTGTGTAGGCTGATATGGGAGTAAGAACACAGATTGCTTTCATGCCTGTGACCCCGGACGCAGGCCTAGATCAATACACAGGTGTCTCTTCATAGTTTTTCTCTGCTTGTCTAATGTTTTTACACTTTCCTAAGCTGACTTTCTTAACTTCACTAGCGTGGGTCACAGTATATTTTAGACAGTTCTTCACGACGTTTTTACTATCATTTCTCAAGGCAGCAATGGATAAAACAATATAATATGATCATCATTTTATTTCCCAAAACTTCCTCAGAGTCAACGTCTGCCATCCAAATGCAAGCACTCCATTTCAGACAGCTCCTAGTTTCCCAAATTTCATTTATGCAGCTTGGATTTCATTATCCATGGCATGGAACGTAGTCTAAGATCAATTCTGTAATTAACCAACTGTAATAATTCTCAGAATAATAATTCTCAGAAGAATGACACATGTCACAAATATTCAGATGAGTGTGTTGAGATGCTTTTAGAGACTTTTCTAGTTCCTGCGATTAGTCCAGAAGTTAATTCATGATGGAGGTTTAAGAGAGATTTCCACTGGATTTATGGCACTCAACTTGTGGAATTTCATGTTTACATGTACACACATGTCAGGTAACTAAGAGAAAAACCCTTCTTTCCCCTGAGTTGGGCAATGGGGTATCCTGGATCTACCTACAGAGTAACTATAAAAGTAAAATCAAACAGCGTATGTACTGAGCTAGCATTGTTTTTACAAGGCTCTAATTGCTCGCTCTCCCAGTTGTAAAAGACATAGGCTGAATACAGCTATGATTACAATGATTTAGAAGGATTAACAACCACAAGTGTGGTGACAGTATTATAGGAAAACAAATCTGCATTAGATAGAGCAACATTTATAGGGCTTGAAGGTAACTGTTCTCATAAAACTGAAAACGCTGCAGCATTTCAGGGAAAATGTGAGAGTATCCTGGAAACCACAGCTCTAGTTCCAGTTGCACTATTGAGCCTGTGCCTTAGTTTCTCTGTCTAGAAGATGGAAGAGAAGAATAGGTGGCGTTGGTATTTGCCTCCCAGAAATAGATGAAATTTGGTGAAATAATCCATGAAAAGTATACTCAGTTATGGCAAGTTTAAATATTCCCCTTAATAATTTTAAGTGAATTTTTTAAAGGTTTTAAGCACCACATTTTCAAAAGAATCCACTCAGTATAAGTTGCTTAATATATAACACAATTGCAAATTACTGTATATCCATGGCTCCACTGGAAGTAAGAGACAGAAACACTAAGGAAAACAGCATGTGCTCCGGGAAATCGGGAACTTTGTTTCTAGGAGTTCACAAATTCCACAATATTTGGCATATTGTATTGACTGAAATTTTGTTATATTTTTGTCAGTTCCCATCTTGGGAAATAAACCAAGAGTTAGATTATTAAATGTAAACCTGCATTAAAAATAACCATTTGATTCTCAAAAGCAAAAATAAATGCCTCAAATCAGAACATGTTCAGTCTATCTCTCTTTTGTTTGAATGATGCTCGCAGGTGGCTTTCCTCTCTTTCCTTTGGTGGAAGCATTTACTAGAAAGCAAAAGTTGTACAGGTTGAACCACAGGAAATTGTCTAATGGCTATTTCACATGATTCAACCTAATATAAGGATTGAGAAGTACTGGTGACCAAACTTTTAAGCACATTAGATTGAAGATTAGACAACTTAGAACCCCAGAGTTCCTTAAAGTCTAGGTCATAGGCTGGGTGTGGTGTCTTACGCCTGTAATCCCAGCACTTTGGAAGGCTGAGGCAGGATTGCTTGAGCCCAGGAGTTTGAGACAAGGCTGGGCAACATGGCAAGACCCCTATCTCTTCAAAAAATTAGAAAATTAGCTGGGCCTGCAGTCTCAGCTACAGTGGGGTAAGGTAGTCTCAGTGTGGGCTAAGGCAAGAGGATCGCTTGAGCCCGGGAGGTCAAGGTTGCAGTGAGTCATGATCGTACCACTGCACCCCAGCCTGGGTGACAGAGTGAGACTTGTCTCAAAAAACTTTAGATTGTAAACTGAGCTGAGGATTGCTGGGATGCACAATAGATTGTTTACTCTCTTCTTTAATATATCCTATTCTAGGTAAATACATGTAAACAAGTAAACTGAGTTAACTACTGGGAGAATTAAGAACTGCAGATCCACACAGGCAGATTTCTTTGGTTAGTCTGTGCTCTACCATCTGAGCTGCAACATCCGCCTCACTGAGGTTACCTGAGTATCCGAGGACTGAATTAAGCAAAATTATATTCCTTACAATAAAATTTCAATAAACCTTCTGAATCCAACAATCTTACCTGCTGGTTTGGTCTGACATCACTGAAATTTATTTTTTTCCCCAAGTCTCGAATCACCGCGTTCTTAGTTTCACGAATGTCATCATCATTCACTGGTTGAGGAGACTTTGTATTTTTCTTCACTAATCCCTGGGACGGCCTGTAAGATAAATCCACACCCAACACACCCATGAAAAGCACTGGCCAGGGTGAAAAGGCCTAGAAATCAGAGTGGTTGAAGTGACAACCAGAAACCAGCAGTCATTAGGCACTTAGGGAATTAAGCCCTGTGCAGAGAATCAGTATTTGTAAACGTCTTTTTGGTATTTTAATTAAAACAAAATTTTTTTTGAAACAGAGTCTCACTCTGCTACCCAGGCTGGAGTGCAGTGGTACGATCTCGGCTCACCGCAACCTCTGCCTCTTGGGTTCAATGATTCTTCTGCCTCAGCCTCCTGAGTAGCGGGGATTACAGGCATGCACCAACACGCCCAGCTAATTTTTTGTGTTTCTCCTGGAGACGGGGGTTTCACCTTGTTGCCTAGGCTGCTGTCAAACACCAGACCTCAAGTGATGCACGTTCCTCGGCCTCCCAAAGTGCTGGGATTACAGGCATGAGCTACCACACCTAGCCTGATATTTTAATTATTAATAATCATTCAAAGTAATCATCTCCTTTGTCCTGAAGTGTTCCACATCCATTCTGTGTCTAAGAGAATAAGATTATCTAGGAATCCACAAAATGAGAGCCCTGTCCCAGATCAAGCTATTCAACGTACATATCGCCTCTTAACTAGCATCTTACATCAAGAAACCTCAATGACACTTACATGGATGGTGCACTTCTAGGCAGCCCCATGGCATTTGTGGGTGGGATGGAAGGGAGAGAAGGCAGAACAGAGCTGAGAAAAGCCACAGGGTTCTGAATCCGGCTGGTAGGAGAGACAGGAGTTGGGGACACACAGCGGGGCTGAAACTGGTTTCCGCTGGGGATGGAAAATGTGAGTGGTGGTGGTGTTGGCTCTGTTGGGCCTGGTGGGGGTGGCTCATTTTGGATGGAAAGCCCTCCTGGAGATTTGGTTTGCATGGAGGGGTGAGACACTAAGAGGCTTTCTTTGCTCACTGTCCTCTGAATAGTTTGAGGAGTGCTGCTCAAAGTGAACACCGGAGAGCTGGAAGGGGCCACAGTTGCTGCGGTGGTGTTCGTGGAGGGGAAGAAATGCTTCGGCCGGGCCAAGCTGAACGTCTGTGATGAAGGAGCCTTCACCTGCTTACTGGATGTTGTCACCGCTGGGGGAGCAGTGGAGTTCAAAACACTCATGTTGAAAGGAAACTCCTTAGGAGATGAAGGAGATGGGTTTTGCAACTGGTGTTGTTCCAGTAAGACTTGGTTATGAAGCTGTTGTAACTGAGTGGAATCACTGTACACAAAACAAGGGTGGAGAGAGAGAAGGAAATGTGTTATTATTGGCCTCACCTTTCAAACAATGTACAGACAGACTGTTTATAACTTGATGATAGGCGGGGCACGGTGGCTCATGCCTGTAATCCCGGCACTTTGGGAGGCGGAGACAGGGGGATCACTTGAGTCCAGGAGTTTGAGACCAACCTGGGCAACGTGGTGAAACTCTGTCTCTACAAAAAAAAATTATATATATATACATGAGGCCGAGGTGGAAGGATTGCTTCAGCGATCCCAGGAGGATCCCAGGAAGATCACTTGAGATCCCAGGCTTGAGCCTGGAGGCGGAGATTGCAGCGAGTCCTGATCGTGCCACCGCACTCCAGCCTTGGTGACAGAGTGAGACCTGTCTCAATAAATAAATAAAATAAAATAAAATAAAATAACTTGATCCTAATAAAGAACACACAACCAGAGTGGCAAGAATCAGCTGACCAATAATTGGTGAGTTTGTCTTTCCTTCTTTCCAAGGGCATCATTGACACTGTATTCTTTGTATTGTGACCTTTGAGTTGTGCAACAAAGAGTTTATAAATTGGAAAAGAGAAACAGAGACAATGTTTCTCTTGTAGGCAGTGCTCAAAGTTCTGATGACCAGCGGAAAGTATCCCAGCTGGAGAACAGAAGGCACTGAGCTACACACCAGTGTGAGTTACTGAAAAGGGCAGAATTCTCCATAAGAACATGCTGTATTCTCCACTCTGCCTTGTTTTAGAGCAGACCTTAAGAAGCCAGATGTGTTTCAGAGGGGTTTCTCATTCTCTTGTGGTAACAAACCTTTATAGATAAGGTGACCATATGTCCCGATACATTCAGGAAGGTCCTGGTTTAACATCTTTTCCTGGCATCATTATTTTTGTTTTTGTTTTTGGTTTTGGTTTTGAGACAGAGTCTTACTCTGTTGCCCAGGTTGGAGTGCAGTGGTGCGATCTTGGCTCACTGCAACCTCTGCCTCCTGGGTTCAAGCGATTCTTGTGCTTCAGCCTCCCAAGTAGCTGGGACCACAGGTGTCTGCCACCATGCCCGGCTAAATTTTGTATTTTTAGTAGAGACAGGGTTTCACCATTTTAGCTAGACTGGTCTTGAACTCCTGACCTCAAATGATCTGCCTGTCTTGGACTCCCAAACTGGTAGGATCACAGGCGCGAGCCACCGTGCCCGGCCCTGACATCATTATTAATAGAACTCACTTTCACTCTCAGAAATGTCCTAATTTGAATGATGATTATATGCTCACCCTGATTATAAACCTTGCCTTAGACTTTTATGGTTCCTAAAAGGAGAAAGATCAAACTGGAAACAGTTTCTCCATTTACAGAACCTGAGTCACAGAGGCATCACATGATTTGCCTTAATGGTCCGTTGAATTCAATGGTCTGTTGAATTCAGTGGTCTATTAAATTTCTATTCACAAAAGAGTTCTTTTTTAACAAAGTGTAATGAAAATGTCTTAAAATCATATATGCATAAAGTCATTAAGGCTGCCACACTTTGATGTTTAGGAGAATCTACTCTTGAATGAGTAACCACAGGAAGACCCATATGTGGGATCACAGTGCTTCAGGACCACTAATTATATGATCTTCATTTTATTTTTATTTATTTAATTATTTTAGGCAGTCTTACTCTGTCACCTAGACTGGAGCGCAGTGGCACAATCACGGCTCACTGTAGCCCTGACCTCCTGAGTTCAAGTGATCCTCCTGCCTTAGCGTCCCAAGTAGCTGGGACCACAGGTGCGCACCTCCTGGCCCCGCCAATTTTTGTATTTTTTGTAGAGTTGGGGGTCTCGTCATGTTGCCCAGGCTGGTCTCAAACACCTGAGCTCAAGCAATTTGCCCACCTTGGCCTCCCAAATTACTAGAATTACAGGCATGCGCCACTGCGCCTGGCCGGTCTTATGTTCTTTGGAAATATGTGTTGCTTTTGGGACACAGAGACTCTGCATTCTAAGGAATACAAAAGAAATTATTAAGGATTTTGAATTCTTAAGATAAAATGCCAGACAACAAACTCGTTTTGGCAACGACAATTTCTGGCAGTGTGTGCTGGAGCCAGTTCACTGGCTTTGAAGAACAGATAGTGCACATCTCATTTCAACCACCCATTCGATGACTTTCCCTTAGTAGCTTCAAATTGGCGCAAATGCTAAAAATCAGGGCTTTCTCTCCCCTGTCAGTCATTAAACATTTGCCAGTGCATCACTGACTTGGAAAACTAGTTCTGAGTAAATCTGCTATGGTTTTAGCAGCAGTCACTGTGCTGGTTGCACATTTGAATCACCTGGAGACTGTAAAAGACAAATGAACCTTGCTGATTTAGGCACCTGCTCAGTTAATTTACCTGCAGTGGACTTCAGACAGTTATTAGTATCTTTTCAAATGTAGGTCAGTCAGTCTCAAACTTTACTGGGCCTCAGAATCCTCTGGAGGGCCCGTTAAAACACAGGTTTCTGGCCCCCATCCCTAGAGTTTCTGATTCGGCAGGTGTGGGGTGGGGCCTGGGAGTCTGCATTCCAACCAAGCTTCCAGGTGACGCTGATGTGGCGGGCCTGCCTACCACAAGGCCCCAGGTGATTCTCACAGGCATCCAGGACTGAGAACCGCTGCCCTAAAGAAACACTTGGCCCCAAAGCATAGGCTTTCCTAGTACATTCTGACTTTTGTCTGACATTTATCTCACTTTTAAATGTTAATTATTGTGTTTTCCTGGGTGTAGCCGGTGGGTGGTAGGGAGTGGGGAAGAGTTGCAACTCAGGGTTATTTCTTTCTTTTTCTTTTTTATCTCTTTTTGAGACAGAATCTTGCTCTGTCACCCAGGCTGGAGTGCAGTGGCATAATCTCAGTTCACTGCAACCTCTGCCTCCTACGTTCAAATGATTCTTCTGCCTCAGCCACCTGAGTAGCTGGGATGACAGGCATGCGCCACTACGCCTGGCTAATTTTTGCATTTTTAGTAGAGATGGGGTTTCACCATGTTGGCCAGGGTAGTCTAGAACTCCTGACCTCAAGTTATCCACCTGCCTTAGCCTCCTAAAGTGCTGGGGTTACAGACGTGAGCCACTGTGCCCAGCCGGGGTTATTTCTCTAACTCTAGACCAGTGGTTTCCAAACTGGCTGCACATTAAAATAATCTGCTTCAATTGAGATGGAAGGCATAAATATTTTTTAAAAGCTCCAAATTTTATTCTAGAGTGTGGCCAGGATAAGGAATCACTGCTCTAGACAGCTTAATATTCAATCTGAAATTTCAAAGTCAGGCTTTGATGACACAAGGTTTAAAAATGACAGCTTCCCTTTCTGTTGCAATTTTAAGATCTACTTTATCTCTATTTTCCAAATGAATAGCAAATTGAAGGAACAAGCAGAAAATTGTATCCTTGAGAAGACTGAGTCAATATATTTTAATGCAAAATGTGTGAGGTTAAACCAATGAGGTTAAAACTGGTAAGAAAAGGTTGTAGGCATGTAGATTTACAAAGGGTGTGTGTATGTGTGAGTGCGGTGAATATATATATTCATATCTATACTAATGTAAACATATATATACACAAGAGAAAACTTAAGGAAGGCAAAGAATATTAAAGAATTACATAGTGCCGAGAACTATGTTTCTAGAGGGTGTCACTATATGATTTATTAGAGAGATGTCTTATGTTAATTGGAAGTCTCATGTGGCAGACACTGCTGTCTACTTAATTCCCCCCTTATAAAAGAACCCGATTTTGTTTATGGTGGCAATATGTGCAGCTAAAGACTGTACTTCCAGCCTCCTTTGCAACTAGTGTCCCATCTGCCTATATTCTGGCCAAAGAGGCAGAAGCAGAAGATTTTGGTTGAAACCTCTAAGAAGTCTCCTTAGAAGAGATTCTAACATCAAGAGTGATGTCTAGGTGGAGTGGCTCACACCTGTAATCCCAGCACTTTGTAGATGTGATGACTTGACCACCATCAGCTGTCTTGGACCATGAGGGGACCTGGAGAAAAAGCCAGTGTTTGGGATGGCAGAGCAGAAAGACAGAAGGAGACTGGATTCTTAATGACCATGGAACAAACATTCATAGCCCCAGACTCCCTGTCTACTTTCTTTATATGAGAGAAAATAAACCCTCAACTATTTAAACCCTGTTAGTTTGGGTTGTCTGCAACATGAAGCTCAACTTAATCCTAACTGACATACCTGAGGACTGAACTCTGACCTTTTTCCATGCTCAAATCCTATTCTAAGGGACCTAGGGAAAGTCACTTCCAAAACAAGCCGTAGCCAATCTCATGAAACAGGTCTTTTTTTTTTTTTTTTTTTTTTTTTTTAAAGAAAGAATCTCATTCTGTCACCCAGGCTGGAGTGCAATGGCGCAATCTCGGTTCACTGCAACCTCTGCCTCCTGCGTTCAAGCAATTCTCTCACCTCAGCCTCCTGAGTAGCTGGGATTAAAGGCACATGCCACCACACCTGGCTAATTTGAAATACGCCTTTTTGACCCAGTGTATGGTGGTTTTCTTTTCATCCCGACTCTGGCATGGCATCACATGACATTAACAGCAGACTCCCTTATTTTAACTTAAACATTCCTTTCTACTGACTCCAAGTTTTCAGACAAAACTTAACTCTTTCAATTGCCAACCACAGAATCCCCAGCCCTACCTATGACTGGTAAGTCCCTGCTTTGAGATGTCCTGCCTTTTGGGGCCAAACCAATGTTTATCTTCTTGTATTGATTTATGATTTTACCTGTAATTCTTGTCTTCCTGAAATGCATAAAACCAAACTGCAACCTGACTGCCTTGAGTGCACTTTCTCCGGACCTCTGGAGACTGTGTTTCCCTGGGTCGTAGTCACTCATATTGACTTAGAATAAACCTCTTTAAATATGTTGGCAGAATTTTATTTTTCCATCGTACTATATAACAGCCCCTAAAACTGTTACTGGGGAAGAGACAGTCCTACAAAGGAGGCAATTCCCCAGGAGGTTGTTTGGGGTTACCTGTTCCCTGTAACTCCCTTCTCTGAGAACTTCTCCCACCTACAGTTTCTTCCAAACATAAATCCTCTAACAGTTGAGTGTACTGGGGGAGGGGGCAGGAGGTCACCTGACCAGCCTGGACCAACTAGAATTGGGAGTTGAACTGCTGAGACTGATTTAGTTAACAGTGGTACTTGACACAGATTATGATGTGGAATGGGGACATGGCCATGATGGGACACTTATGAACTGATGGGTCTTCAAAGAGAGAAGAATGGACCAGATAAGTAAAGAGGAAACAAGGAGATGCTCAAGTAGATGGAGGGCGAACCAGCCGCACAAGCTGCAGCAGACAGAGGCTGGACTGACCTGTGATCCTGAGATGACAGGTGAAGAGGCCCAGCTCCCACCTCTCTAGTTCTTCTCCTGCAGGGCTTGGTTGTGTTTGGCTTACCAATTTCTGCCTATATCCCTGCAGTAACCTCTTCTCCTCTTTTTACTTTAAGTGGATTCCTGTTTCCTGTGACTGACAGGACTTTGAGGGGACTGAGGCATTTCTGGATGTGACTTGCTTAGAGGCATGTTTCACAGCATTGAATCTTATGTCCAGAATTTTGCCGTATACAGTGATGAGAAGAATATAAACTAGACACGAATGGCTTCCAGTGAACATCTCATGGTGATGAGCAACCCACAGTGGGTGCACTGGTGCTGTAGATTTTGATGTTGATATTTAAAGGTTTTTGTAATTAGAAACAATTTTTTATGAATTTGATGTGTGGATGAAACAGGAAATAATAGCAATATCATGCCCTATATTTGCTATGTTGTGGATGGACATTTTAAACATTGCAACACGGCTTTCTTTTTCTTTTTTTTTTTGAGACCGAGTCTCGCTCTGTCACCCAGGCTGGAATGCAGTGGTGCGATCTCGGCTCACTGCATGCTCCACCTGTTGGGTTCACGCCATTCTCCTGCCTCAGCCTCCCGAGTAGCTGGGACTACAGGCGCCCGCCACCATGCCGGGCTAATTTTTTGTATTTTTAGTAGAGACGGGGTTTCACCATGTTAGGCAGGATGATCTCGATCTCCTGATCTTATGATCTGCCCGCCTCGGCCTCCCAAAGTGCTGGGATTACAGGCGTGAGCCACCACACCCGGCGGTGATTGCAACATGGCTTTCTAGAGAGTCAGGGCAACAACCACAGTAGGCTCCTGAGTTGAGTCAGAAAATCATGACCACTTCTTTATCCTACTATATTTATCCAGCAGCAGCTAGGAACTATCTAACAAATACTAAATAGCTTTTCTATAATGACTACAGAAGCTTAAATTGAAGCAGAAATGAGAAATATAAGGATGAAATTACAGACTGTAAAGACGATTAGACACAAAAAACATCTTTATAAGAGAAGCACAGAAGTGCTTTACCTGGGGCCTCTAATGTCAGAATGTCAGACAAATGTTTCTGAATTAGTTTAAGTGCAACATTGCTTGGAGGTAGAATATTAATTAAGGATAATAGTGATAGTGTGCTTCTACTGATGTAAGGATGTACATTTGGCAAAACATTTAATGTGTATTTTCTCATTTGGGAATTCCCCTTTTTGTTTTTTTTTTTGTTTTGTTTTTTTTTTCCTGGACAAGTCTTGCTCTGTCACCCAGGCTGGGGTACAGTGGCACAATCACAGCTCACTGTAGCCTGAAACTCCTAGACTCAAGTGATCCTCCTGCCTCTGTCTCCCAAGTAGCTAGGACTATAAGTATGTACCACCATGCCTGCTAATTTTTTTACTTTAAATTTTTTCTTTTAGAGACAGGGGTCTCACTATTTTTCCCAGGCTGGTCTCAAATTCCTGGGCTCAAGCGATCCTCCTGCCTCGGTCTCCCAAAGTGCTAGGATTACAGGTGTGAGCAACTGTGCCTAGCTGAGTTCCATTATTTTTAAGATCAGACTCAAGAAAAGATCACAGAAGCTCCTGGTTATTCATCCTACTTTTTACTTACAGTTTGGGTTTGGCCAGAACTGGAGGGGGCTCTTTGACGGGGGAAGAAGGCTCTGGGATTTTTGTTGCCTGTGCGTTGAACCTCTCCTGGAAAGAATCGGGCCTGGTCTGTCTGGTGGTCACCACGCCAGCCTCGGAGGATGCTTCACTTCCTTTGTCATCTTCAGGCAGGTTGAAGTGCACACGAAGCCCAATCCTGGAGCTGGACCGGGGCTCATTGTGGTTCACCAGAACTCCCTCGAGTTTGGGTTTGGGGGGTTGTTCCACAGACGGAGGCTCTGAGTGGGGTGGGGAGGGCTGTGGCTCAATAGCAGCCAGGTTGGTGGTGGAGTTGGCTGAGTGAAGAGACCCGTTGTTGCTGAGGTCATCATTTCCTGAAAGGACAATAACAGGACCTGAGTTGTCAGTCACTGTAAGCCTGAACTGGGGCATGTGCACAAATGGGAAAGTGTTCACACCAGACGAATGTATGAATGGGAAATGCTTGTCAAAAACAGATCATCATCAGGGCATTAAAGAATGGTAAGGATACAGGAAAAAAATTAAATTAAAAATAAAATACTAAATTTAAAGTATAAATACCCCTTTGGAAAGAAATTTAGAAATTTATTGAGGAGATGTTCTCTTAGGAAATATAATGACGACAGCAGGGTAACTGGGGTGGTGGCTGTAAGTGCAATAAGAAATTGAAAATTGGACACTGTTCAAGAACACTTTCCTCAATAATTCAAATATTTTTGGGAGAGCCAAGCCAGCTTCGTATGAAAAACAGTAAGGAATGGTAACACAAAGTCTGCATATTCACATTCAAAGTCACAGGCTAAACTGTTCTGGCATTAAAGGGTCCTTACCTCTCACATGCAGCTGTGCAATGCTTGACACTGTGCCGTATTTGTTGCTTGCAGTACATGTGAAGCACCCAGAATCTTCTGCAAACACCTCAGCAATGACCAAGGTGCAAATCTCCTCTATATGCCAGTGAAACAGAATGGTTACTGACTTAATTATGAAAATAGAATTATAGAATTTACTGATATCAGATGATGATTCTACGAAGTCAATATAAGATGGTTATATTAATTCTTTGAAAACAATTGGTTAAAACAATTATTTGATTGAATTGACTGATTAGTAGGCAAAATAAGTCAAAGAATGTAGAAACAATAACTCCATGCAGACAGGCCAAGTATTGACAGGGGGATTTTTTTTTTTTTTTTTTTTTAATAGACGGAGTCTCGCTCTGTCACCCAGGCTGGAGTGCAGTGGCAAGATCTCGGCTCACTGCATCCTCCACCTCCCAGGTTCAAGCGATTCTCCTGCCTCAGCCTCCTGAGTAGCTGGGACTACAGACATGTGCCACCCGCAAATTTTTGTCTTTTTAGTAGAGATGGGGTTTCACCATGTTGACAGGCTGGTCTTGAACTCCTGACTTCAAGTGATCTGCCCGCCTCGGCCTCCCAAAGTGCTGGGATTACAGGCATGAGCCACCATGCCTGACCTGACAAGGGGATTTTGTAAAAATCGTTACATATTATGGATTCTCAGATAATCTTCTATTCTTATGTCATCAGTACAGATGGCAAAAATAGAAATGAATGACAATAAACTTTTTAAAAATCACAAAAACAAACTAGGAGTCAAAGGAAAAGGAAATTTCTGTGAAATTAAAGAACTAATAAAATATTTTCTAAACCTAGGTCTCTCACTATTTCCCTGGGGAACTTTTGCAGTAAGATTATTTTAAACAAGGACCACAATTTAAAATTGGACAGCAAATATTTTGCTTTACTAGTAGTAATGAACTGATAGAGTAACTTGAAATTCTGGGTGAAAGAAGAGTGAAAGGCATTTCTACTTTTGTATTACTATGGTAAATCTTATGGATTACTCTGATACACTGTGAACAATGATCCTCTGTGAATAACTACAGAGGTGATTCCCAGGTAGAACCACATGACTACCGTCCAAAATTATTAAAGTTAGATATTCCTTGACAGCTAATAAAGAGGAGGTATAAGACAGTAGCATAAATCTCCAGTTATCACTCTATAGAAATGACATTAAAAACAAAATTATTAAAAAATAGTTGCATTAGGAGAAACTTGGCAGGCATCTCAGTGCTTCATGATAATTGAATTGAATTAACTAGACCATTTCTAGGAAATCTGGCCAGGCGGGCATGGCAGGCAGTATTGAGTATTGCTGTTTGAACGTGTCCCCCAATATTCATGCTGGAAACAATTCCCACTGTTTCACTGTTGGGATGTGGAGCCTAAAGGGAGCTGTTTATGTCATGATGCCTCTGCCCTAATAAATGGATAAATGTTGTTATCATGGGAGTGGATTCGTCATGAAAGTAAGAGTGGCCCCCTCTCTCCCTCCCTTCTCTTGTGCACTTGCTTTCTTGCCCTTCTGCCTTCTGCCATGGAATGACACAGCATGAAGGCCCTCACCAGATGCAGGCCCCTTGATCTTGGGCTTTCCAGCCTCCAGAACTGTAAGAAATAAATCCCTGTTCCTTATTAAAAATCACCCAGTTTCAGGTATTCTGTTACAGCAGCACACAGTGGACCAAGGCAAGTACCTACTCAGTAACTCTTCCTCCTCCTACCTCCTTGTTGATAGAACTTTGGCTTTGTCTACTCTACTTGGAGTGGTCATATGTTTCGAAGAAAGCTGGCCCCTCTCAGCCTCAGGTGGTAAATCATGACTGGTCTAAGCCAGTCAAGCTAACTCCATTCTTGTTAAGTGGTAGTTGAGACACACAATTCCAGTCAGTGTGATATTGAAACCATCACCACAGGGTTGACAAGAATTGCATGCTCAGTTCAGGACAGAAATATAGTTAAGCATTAATCAGGCTGCACTTTGACCCACTTAAAGTCATACAGCACTAGATCCTGACCATCTGCATCCGCTTGTTCCTATAGATAGGATTTCTGACATTAGGATCATAAGACTATTTAAGAATTGATTTGCATCCCCGTTGTTCCTATAAACAGGATTTTATTTATTTATTTATTTATTCATTCATTCATTCATTTATTTATTGAGATGGAGTCTCAGTCTGTCGCCCAGGCTGCAGTGCAGTGGCATGATCTCGGCTCACTGCACGCTCTGCTGTCCAGGTTCACACCATTCTCTCACCTCAGCCTCCCGAGTAGCCGGGACTACAGGCACCTGCCACCACGCCCGGCTAATTTTTTGGATTTTTAAAAGTAGAGATGGGGTTTCACCATGTTGGCCAGGATGGTCTCAATCTCTTGACCTCATGATCCGCCTGCCTCGGCCTCCCAAAGTGCTGGGATTACAGGCGTGAGCCACTGTGCCCAGCCTCTATAGACAGGATTTCTAACATTAGAATCATAAGGCTTCTATTTTTTTTGAGACAAGGTCTTGCTCTGTTGCCCAGGCTGGAGTGTAGAGGCATAATTTCGGCTCACTGCAGCCTCTACCTCCCAGGTTTGAGTGATCCTCCCACCCGAGCCTCATGAGTAGCTGGGACCACAGACGTACACCACCATGCCTGGCTAATTTTTAAGTTTTTGTAGAGGTGGGAGTCTCACTATATTGCCCAGGCTGGTCTTTAACTCGTGTGCTCAAGCGATCCTCCCACCAAAGTGTTGGGATCACAGGTGTGAGCCACTGTGCCCAGCCTCATAAGGCTTTTGTTTAGGATCTTTTAAGACATTTTTTCAGACCATGAATTCCAGCAACTAGTTTGAAGACCCCCACAGAGGATGGAGATCAGCAATGAGAACATGGCTTCTTCATCTCCCCCTCCCATGACTTCACCCTGCACTTTTCAACCAACCAGTGATCTCTGCTCTTCCATCCACTCCAAAACCCTTAAAAATCCTAGCCCGGCTAATTTTTGTAAATTTGGTAGAGATGGGGTTGTATGTATGTTGGCCAGGCTGGTCTCGAACTCCCAACCTCAGGTGATCCACCCGTCTCAGCCTCCCAAAGTGCTAGAATTACAGGCATGGGCCACCATGCCCAGCCTGAAGAGAGAATTACAGTAATGAGATCACAAACCAGCTTTCTCTAACAGGGTTGCAAATACAGTCTGATTTTTCTGGGTGGCACAGAGAGGGCATTCGGATGTTTTTGCCCTGTTTTGTGAGTGACTTGAACTTTCTAAGTTCGCCTACTGTCACTTGTATTTCATCTTAGTATCCTCCCAACTAAGTCAAATCACATCACAGATATTTTACTGAATCTCTGCAAGCTGCAAAATCTGATGATGCATAAGTTTTGAGATACCTAGGCTATGGAACTGAAATTCACCTAGCATTATAAAAATTGCTTTGCCTAGTTTTGAAGGGGCTCAAATGGTGGCCATTTATGGAGGAAAAGAAACACTTCTCAATAACCAAGAAACACTTCTCAATGATCAAGAACCAACTGCATTCATATGAGGTATTAAATATATATTCCAGATTTGTACATGCTCCCCTCCTCTCCTCCTACAATAATAGCTATAATTCATTTGGAAGGCTTTTTTTTTTTTTTAGAACAGATGCTTGTTCTGTCACCTGGGCTGGATTGTAGTGTCACGATCTTGGCTCACTGCAACCTCCACCTCCCAAGCTCAAGCGATTCTCCTGCCTCAGCCTCCCAAGTAGCTGGGATTACAGACGTCCACCACGCCTGGCTAATTTTTGTTCTTTTCCTAAAACTTTATTTTTCACTTTTTATTCATCTCAGTGTAACTTCATTATGCATTCTTATATATATAAAATCACTCATATACTAATGAATTAAAGTTGAAATCATCTTTACCTGGCTCTGCCATGGATCGAGGTTCTAAAAGAAAAAGAAAAGTAAAAGATTCTGAGCATTTATTTTACTGAGAAACTACATGTTCATCAGAATCTTCCTATAGAATTTCACAGTCTCTTGCACACTCAGGAGTGATACAATAAGGTTATGTAACAATATTGAGTAAGATGACCTTAACGGGGTAGAATGGATATTACAGAAAGGCAGCAAAAGAGCAAAAACTGTTTTTTTTGGGTTTTTTTTGAGACTGAGTTTCGCTCTTGTTGCCCAGGCTCAAGCGCAATGGCACGATCTTGTCTCACTGCAACCTCTGCCTCCTGGGTTCAAGCAATTCTCCTGCTTTAGCCTCCCAAGTAGCTGGAATTACAGGCATGTGCCACGACGACAGGCTCATTTTTGTATTTTTAGTAGAGACGGGATTTCATTGTGTTGACCAGGCTAGTCTTGACCTCCTGACCTCAGGTGATCTGCCCGCCTCAGCCTCCCAAAGTGCCGGGATTACAGGCATGAGCCACCGCACCTTGCCCAAGAGCAACAATTAAATGATATTGCTTCCTCTTGAAATAAATCTGGGCTTCACTTGAGGTACATAAACCTTAGCCAAGGAAGTTTCCGAGTTAGCTCTATTTCAGAAATGACTTGCTTTTATTGGCACTCATTCAGCCTTACCTGAAAAAGGTTTGTGAAGATTGAGAGATCGTTCTTGGCTTTGGGCTCTGATATTCTAATAAAATGTACACTATACCTCTTGCTCTGAGGTTTCTAAGATTAAGAACCTCAGGATAGATCATAGTTTTTTCAAGAGTAGGTTTTTGTTTGTTTGTTTGGTTGGTTGGTTGGTTTTTTTTGAGATAAAGTCTCTCTTTGTTGCCCAGGCTGGAGTACAGTGGCAAGATCTTGGCTCACTGCAACCTCCGCCTCCTGGATTCAAGTGATTCTCCTGCCTCAGGCTCCTGAGTAACTAGGACTACAGGCACCTGTCACCACACTTGGCTCATTTTTGTATTTTCAGTAGAGGTGGGGTTTCACCATATTGGCCAGGCTGGTCTCAAACTTCTGGCCTCACATGATCCACCTGGCTCGGCCTCCCAAAGTGCTGGGATTAAAAGGTGTGAGCCACCATGCCCAGCCAGGAGTAGGTTCTAACTTTAAAATTCTTTGGGCTTTATGAAAATGCCCACGGTGGTACTGAATGTAGGTGTTTGATTGATATTGAATTGCCAACACTCAAAAAGTAGTTGTTGAACTTAGTTTTAATCTTCTTCACTGGTAAACCCATTGAAGATTTTTTCTCTCTCTGTTTTTTTTTTCTGTTTGCTTTTTGTTTGTTTGTTTTGTTTTGTTTTGAGATAAGGTCTCACTCTGTTGCTTAGGCTGGAATGCAGTGGTGCGATCTCAGCTCACTGCAACTCTGTCTCCTGGGTTCAAGTGATTCTCCTGCCTCAACCTTCAGAGTAACTGGGACTACAGGTGCATGTCACCACACCTGGCTGAGTTTTTGGGTTTTTTGGTTTGTTTGGTTTGGTTTTTTTTTTTTTTTTTGGTAGAAACAGGGTTTCACCATGTTGGCCAGGCTGGTCTCAAACTACCGACCTCAAATGATGCGTCTACCTTGGCCTCCCAAAGTCCTGGGATTACGGGTGTAAGCCACTGTGCCTGGCATCTCTCAGTTTAAATGGCATTCAGAATATATTATCGTTGCTGCTACTGCCAATAAAACCTGACAGTAGCTCTGATTCCTATGTCACACTGATCTAAGGACTACTATTTTGTGATAGGCAGAAAAAGATTAAGAAAAAAGAAAGTAACTCACCACAAAAAATGATGTGTGTAAGGTAATACATATGTTCATTAGCTCAATTTAGCCATTCCACAATGTATATATATTTCAAAACATCATGTTGTACGTGGTAAATTGTAAAATTTTTATTAATCAATGTAAAAAATAAAAAATAAATAAACAAAAGTTATACATGTTCATTGTGGAGAAACTAAAAAAATACAGAAATGCAAAAGGAAGTACAACAATCCACCCTAGACTCACTGACCAGAGAAAGACTGCCAACATTTTAGCAAATTTCTTTCCCAAGTTTTTCTATAATAGATTGTTCTACCTAGTTAATAAAACATAATTTTTAAAAGCAAGTATGTTGCAATGTAGTTTATGGCTGAAATGGGTCAAGGAGAAAGCACTGCATGACAAGGTGAAAGCATGGTGCGATAAGAAAAGAAGAACTAACCATGTAAATTTCTAAATAATTCTTACAATAAAAAAGAGCAAGAATTCAATGTGAAATAAAGAAATACAAAGACCCAAGTAAACACTAAAAAGAAAAGTTTCATCCCAGATTTAATTAGTGAAGTGCAGATTAAAACAAGTGTTCCCATTTTTGGCCTGTAAAGTTAGTGAAGATTTTTAATAAAATGGTTAACACTCATTGTTGGTGAAGGTGTGAGATGAAAGGCATTCCCATGTATTGTTGGTTGTAGTAGGATATAGCTAGGGCGACGTGTGTCCCAGTTCAACTGGGACAGACCTATTTTATGCCTGGGATCCCTGTATAATTATTAATAGCATCCTCTGTCACTCCCCCAAAGGGTCTCAGTTTGGCTGATTAATTGTGTAATCATCCTAAATTTAGTTCAACCCTTTGGGGTGGCATTTTGGCAACATATTTTAAAAGCCTTAAAAAGGTAAATTTACAGCAGCAATTCTCGTACTAGAAATTTATTCCAGGGCAGTAACTGTAGATATTCACAGCTACTGGGGACGCTGAGGCGGGAGAATCGCTTGAACCGAGGAGGTGGAGGTTGCAGTGAGCCGAGATCGCGCCACCGCACTCCAGCCTGGGTGACAGAGTGAGATTCCATCTAAAAAAAAAAAAAAAAGTAAGGAGGCTCTGTGTTTATTGACATTGAAAGGCGTTCATTAAATGTTGAGTAAATAATCAATTTACAAAAAAAGAATATGATGATTTTCTTTAAAAACTATGCATGGAAAACTTCTTGGAGAACATATACTGAAATATTAACAGGAGTATGACTACAGGTGTTTTTTATTTTATTCTTTTGACTGTATTTTTAGTTGTTAAAAAGTTATAAAAATAAGTGTGTACAATAATTTCATAAAAACAAAATATCAGAAAATAATTTAAAGCATTAACTTACTTTTCTGTAAAATCCTAAAATCTGGAGAATCTTCTATTAAAGTCCCTTCTCTATACCACTCAACCTTAGGAGATGGGGCTCCTTTTACTCTGCATTCAAAGACAACCAGCTGACCCTCAGAAGCTGACAAATTTTGTAGCATCTATAATGATAAGAAGAATGTAGTTAGAACCAAAAAGTACACATTTTTGTAATTTAGTCCCAGTGTTGAATTTTAGAAAAAGATGCTGTCTCCAAATTTGGATTTTTCTCCAAAGCATCTACATCTCTAGCAGCTTCAGTTCTGTGGATGTGCATTCAAAAGTAGTTTTAAGAGCTTGTTGGGAGGTTCTAGCAGGGGAGCGCGGCTACTCCTATGCCCCTGACTGAAGACCGGTCCTCCTATATCAGGTATGGTCATCTTCTTCCATTGAGTGCACAGCTTCAGGAGGTACGCACATGGAGCAGGGAGGGAGGAAGAGGACACCCGCATAGCCAGCCGGATAAGCTGAATTAATTCTGACTGTCAATGGGGTGATAGATGTCGCAGCCAGATTGCCCTGACATCCCAAAAGTAGGTTTGAAGACAGAATCATCTGAGCCCATATAAAGCTTTCCCCTCACTATCGTTTTCCTCTCTCTCTCTACCAATGCTAAGTAAATTTAGTAAATATTAGGCAAGACATTTTGAGTAATGTAGCTACTTTTAATACAGTATCTTTGGGGTGGTTTTTTGTTGTTGTTTTGGTTTTGGTTTTTTTTTTTTTTTTTTTTTTTTTGAGGCGGAGTCTCGCTTTGTCGCCTAGGCTGTAGTGCAGTGGCCGATCTCGGCTCACTGCAAGCTCCGCCTCCGGGGTTCACGCCATTCTCCTGCCTCAGTCTCCCGAGTAGCTGGGACTACAGGCGCCCGCCACCACGCCCGGCTAATTTTTTGTATTTTTAGTAGAGACGGAGTTTCACCATGTTAGCCAGGATGGCCTCGATCTGCTGACCTTGGGATCCACCCGCCTCGGCCTCCCAAAGTGCTGGGATTACAAGCGTGAGCCACCGCGCCCGGCCTGTTTGTTTGTTTTCTGAGACAGGGTCTCACTCTCTTTCCCAGGCTGTTGTGCAGTGTTGTGATCATTGCTAACTGCAGCTTCAATCTCCCAGGCTCAAGCGATCCTCTCACCTCAGCCTCCTGAATAGCTGGGACTAAAGGCACAGGTCACCAAGCCCGGAATTTTTTTTTTTTTTTTTTGATAGAGACAAGGTTTTGCCATGTTGCCCAGTCTGGTGTCAAACTCCTGGGCTCAAGCGATCCACCCGCCTTGGCCTCCCAAAATGCTGGGATTACAGGCTTGAGCTGCCGCACCCGGCCTCAGTACCTCTGTTCTTAAATGCCCAAGTTGTGTTTGATTTCTAGAAATAATAATAATCTTTAAATCTGCAGTGAGTATCTACTAGATGTGTTCAACATAGGAGTGATGTATTGGTCCACAAAAGAATGTGGCTGCTCATAATGTGGAAGGGTTATATGGCCCAAGTAACTGGTTCTGTCATCCTAGTTTTGCCTTGTTTACATTCTGCAGTCCTGGAAATTAATTTTCACTTTGCTGTTTTGATTTCCTTATGTGGTCTTTACAGGATAGCCTCACTAATACGTTGCGGAATAAAAACAATCACAGTCTTTATAAAATCCTAGTCACACATACAGTCATATGTCATTGTAAAATATGTTGTAAATTTGCGAAGGAATCATTAAATTGCTTCACACTCCCACAACAAAAGGTTTACAGAGACCACTTTGAATTGTAAGATATCAGTATATACTATACTAGACTCTAGAAGATAATAAAATGCACATTTTTTCACAACTAGTTTCTTATTCATCATGATTTGTGAGCTGAAAACCATACATTCTTTTCTGCAATTCATGTGATTATGAAATGCTTCTTTGGCACATATATTGGCATATTTTTGTTTTTCATTTGGCCCAAAGACTGTAAGCATAAAAAGGTTATAATTAAACTTCCTCCAAAAACTCTGTAAGCAACAAATGCTGCATGGCTTTCTATTATTACAATTTTTGGACCTGCATTTAGGAAATACTGGCTCTTGCTTCAGAGAAGGGGAAAGTCGATCGTTTTTTATCTTTTGTCATTCGCTGTAAAGAATATTTCGTTATTTGTTACAGTTCTTGTCTGAACAACTTATGATATTCTGTACTTGGTCCTATCGTACTTAATAGCATTTGTCTAAGGAGAATATGGGGCTGGGGAAAACCACATAGCATTAGCTGTGTAAGAGACTTTCACCGCAGGGGTGTTATGCATTGATAATTGTGACGGCCAGGGGGCGCTGTAGTTCAATGCTAGTGTTCTGTTCTTTCTGAGGTCCCAAATTTGTTTGCTGAAGTAATTCAGGATGGGATTAGCACCGAGTGGTTTCTGAATTAATAAAGAACTATTTGACCGAAAAATAGAATTATTCTTTGTCTTCCCAAAACATCTACTAATGACAAGAACAGAAAACAGGAAGCATCAGTGAATTTTGGGTGCTCCCGGCAAACTGGTGAGTATGTCCTCCACCCTGACCTCTGAGCAAATTGTGTGCTCAAATGGGAGCTTTGGGACCCATTGAAAACTTTAATGGCACTTAGACACCTTCCTGGAGCTTATACATAATAAAGTTTTCATTCCTTTACTGAGTATTGATGATGTGCCACACTGGAATGAGCTTCCATCACAGACATTAGGAGGCCCACTCCATACACTGTAGTATCTCACATAACTAGGCTGGGCTCGTGAATAGAACACAAGTCTTGGCCTTTGATGTCAAATGAATAACAACCAACTGATGGTTTAAATTGTGAACACCATATTTTCTCAAAGAGATCCTTTTGCAAGCAGGGCTTTCGTGTAACCTCTGCAGATTGAGAACTGGCTCATACATCTGAGTTGAACTTTAGGCCATGTCAGAGCATATTAGATTGACCTCATTCTGCTGTGAATGTACTGTTTCATTTACTCAACCCCTTCTGCCACCACCACCTTTTTTGATGTTTGGTTTGGTTTTCTAACTGGTTTGCCTCAAGAAGGAATGAAAACTATGACCCTTAACAGAGGGTCATCTCACAAACCACTTAGAAAACTGTTAAGAGTCATAGTTATAAGGATGATGATGGTTGCTATTGCCGAAAGCTGCTTTTCTACAAAGTTTCATGAGAAAGAGTTGGCTCATATTGCCACAGATCAGGATCCAAACCAGTTACACTGTTAGAACATAGTGTAGCTGACATCACGTTCATCACGGCAGTAGGTCTTAGGCTGTTTGTTACTAATGGTATGGGGTGTACAGACTTGATCATATTCATTTCAGCTTCACTGACAACAAATGAGACAAACAGTCTCCAACTAGCAAAAATTAAGTTAGTCTTTTCTAGGAATTATGAATCTGGGCTACAGTCATTATAACCAAAGATCTACAACTTCCTCAGGTATGCAGTATTCAAAGTGCAAATCTATCTTGTGTGTCATCACTAAACTGGTCATCTGGGAGGACATTCTTTGTAGGGTGACTTGACAACATAGAGACTTGGGAAGCATGTCTTCTTCCATGGCCATTTGACATTTTACTTTTTTTCTCTATTCTTCCTAAAGACACTCTGAAGTCACAAAGTAATGAAAATAATAATTTCTTCTTAGCTGAAATGGAAGGATTTTTTTGTTTTGTTTTGTTTTTTGAGATGGTGTCTCGCTCTGCCACCCAGGCTGGAGTGCAGTGGTATCATCTCAGGTCACTGCAGCCTCCACTTCCTGGGTTCAAGTGATTCTCCTGCCTCAGCCTCCCAAGTAGCTGGACCATAGGCGAGTGCGACCACGCCTGGCTAATTTTTGTGTTTTTAGTTAGAGACAGGGTTCCGTCATCTTGGTCAGGTTGGTCTCAAACTCTTGGCCTCAAGTGATCCTCCTGCCTCAACCTCCCAGAGTGCTGGAATTACAGTTGTGAGCCACCGTGCCTGGCCTGAAGTGGAAGTTATTTGTCACAGAATCAATGTGTGCCTGCTTTGTGCCGAGCACCATGCCCACTGCTATAAATGTGAGTTGAAAGGATATAGTTCTTGCTTAGTAGATCTATAACCACAAACATAATGCTGGGACATCCTTGAGAAAGAGCATCTGCCTTATTGGTTAAAAGATGTCAGCTACAAGGTTGATTTTGCCATTTTATTTGTTTTTAAATTAGTTGATAATTTTGCACCTTGGAAGATGCTGCAAGTGCACAGTGCTTTAGGATGGAGTTAGATCAAAGTGGTTTGTGCTGATAAAGAACTGTTCGATTGAAAGCTCTTTTGCCTCTTGACTGTCACAAGTGCCCCATGCAATCATTGAGTAAGAAAAGTCTCCAGAATTGATTGACTGGGGAGAGGGGCCCATGAACTCCAGAAATCTGGATTCCACTACTGGCCCAGTTATTTCAGGGTTTCCTGCCTTTGCTGTTATATAATGAAGTGCTCTTTTTCAAATTCTCACTTCCCCTGCCCCCTTGCACTCTTCAAATTACTGCTGAAGCAGCTGGGGCCAGGGCTGCTGCAGCCTTGAAAGCCTGCCAGAGCAGCTGCTGCTGGGGTGGGAGCAGTGATAGGAGTAAGATTCTAATTTGATCATCGACCTCCCTTCACACTCAAGAAGTGTGAGTGCTGTTTTCCCCGCATAAACAGAGCGAAAGTATTTTTGATACTGCGTAGAGGATGGAGGATAACCTATCTCTATCCACAGTTAAAGAGCATTTAAAAACATAGGTATGTTTAAAAACATCACCTATGAGTAGAGTAGTGAACTAGTTTTGGAATCTCGTAGTCCACTCTCAAATTCTACTACTGTTTTGCTGGGCAACCCTCCTTTTCATTTTAACTTTTTTAAAAAGAAGATAAGTACTTCGCTGTCACCAGTGGAGGAAGGAGTTAAATAAAACTCTGCTCTCTAAGGGTTTCTCTAAAAAAAAAAAAAAAAAAAAGTGGCTTCTTGCCACGACTGGCAAAGAAATGCTTTGTTGGGCAGTATAGAAAGTGAGTCATAGGGACTGGAATGCCAGAAGTCCCTAAACAAATAAATAGAGCAGGAGTAAGCCAAACAAACATATGCAAATCATCTGTTATCATGGCTCATAGCCACATGATACCATCCATCACTGGTGGCTCTGACTCAGAAATTTGCTAATGACACTGGCAGTGACTATGACCTCAATCCTGCCCTCACTGACGGAAACTAACGCAAGCACATCATTGCTGATAAGTCTTTCTGGAATCTGAGCCACTGCCTATCCTAGTGTCCAATGCCTGAACAATCCTTATCCCATTTATGGAGGCAAAAGCACATATCCTGATGAGGCTGAGAAAACCTCGTCAGGGTTTGGGTCTGTGTACTAAGGACCATTTTCCCACCATGAAGCTATTTCTTTTAGAGATTTTATCTCACAAACAAAATATGTTAATGATTAATTCATTTTCCTATTTTCATTTATCAAAAGTATATGTATCTGCCAATCAGAGCATCTAATTAGTAATAGAAGGAGCTAATCAGAGTCGCCATACAAAGGCAGCTCAATCTGTGGCTCTAATCAGCTCATGAAAATTAAATGTAAAGAACAAATGTGGCTGGGTACCGTGGCTCACGGTTGTAATCCCAACACTTTGGGAGGCTGAGCGGGCAGATCACCTGAGGTCGGAGTTCCAGACCAGCCAAGGCAACATGGTGAAACCCTGTCTCTACTAAAAATACAAAAATTAGCCAGGTGTGGTGGCACACACCTATAGTCCCAGCTATTCGGGAAGCTGAGACATGAGAATCGCTTGAACTCAGGAGGTATAGGTTGCACTGAGCCAAGATCATGCCACTGCATTCCAGCCTGGGTGACAGAGGGAGACTCTGTCTAAAATAAAATAAAATAAAATAAATGTTAGTCGGGTGCAGTGGCTCATGCTTGTAATCCCAGCACTTTGGGAGGCTGAGGCGAGTGGATCTGAGGTCAGGAGTTTGAGACCAGCCTGATCAACATGGTGAAACCTAATGTCTACTAAAAATACAAAAGATCAGCCGGGCATGGTGGTGGAGGCCTGTAATTCCAGCTACTTGGGAGGCTGAGGCAGGAGAATTGTTTAAACCCGGGAGGCGGAGGTTGCAGTGAGCCGAGATCACGCCATTGCACTTCAGCCTGGGCAACAAGAGTGAAACTCCATCTCAAAAAACAAACAAACAAGCAAACAAATAAATAAATAAATGTTAAAGTCCTATTGGACTTTTCCAAATAATAACAACTTTTTACCTATTACTGCCTCTATGGACTCCTGTCTAGATATTAGAGACAGTCTTCAAGGTGAACAGGAGAGATTGAAAGGTAAACAGCTTTACTGTCATGATAAACGTGCCAGAGGTATGCTCCGGGTGATATGGGTAAACCAAAAATGAAATTCTTAGCGCACACCCGCTCCGCACCCTCCCCTGCCTGCTCCCTACCATCTGAATGGACCCCTCCTCTCAGCAAGGGCATTCTGAAGCTAACCTGAAAACTAGTTCAGGTCATGATGGGAAGGGGACATGCCTCATTATACCTCCTGGAATTACTGATAGAACAGACTCTGTAAGTCTGATAAGATCTGATAAAAAAAAATTTACAATCTATTCTCTGAAGCCTGCTCCTGGAGGCTTCAGTTGCATGATAAAACCTAGGTCTCTACAACCCCTTATCCTAATCCAGACATTCCTTTCTATTGTTAATAACTCTTTCAACCAATTGCCAATCAAAAAAATATTTGAATCTGCCTCTGACTTGGAAGGCCCCACTTCCAGTTGTCCTGCCTTTCCAGACCAAATCAATGTACATTTTACATGTACAGATTGATGTCTCATGTCTCCCTAAAGATATAAAACCAAGCTGTACCCCGACCACCTTTGGCATATGTTCTCAGAATCTCCTGAGGACTCTGTCACAGGCCATGGTCACTCATATTTGACTGAGAATAAATCTCTTCTAACTATTTTACAGAGTTGGACCCTTTTCATGGACATAGATGTAGGGAAGACATCAGTACCTAGGAAGATTTGAAATTGAGTGGCTGTATCACCTGATATTCCTCTGATGTCACCTGTCTGTCTGGGCAGACGGAGTTGAGGAAGGGAAGAGAGGGGGAGACTAGCTGAGCCTGAGTATAAACTATCTTGTGGTTTAGCTGCCTTTGAAGAGTCAGCATTGTCTCTAAGGTGTGACAAACTGGCATGATAAATTAAAGTGTCTGTGGCACTTAATCCCTGTTTTAAAGTTAGATGACTTAGCAATGACGATAAGAGACAATAAGAAGTAGCTCTCTTAGCTGTGTTACAAACACACATACACCCCCCACATAAAGGTCCACCTAGAACTCCTCATCAAAGTCTTGCATCCGCCAAATCACAACATATTGCTCTCCTACTTCAAGACTTTGAAAATAGTAAAGCTAAAATCTCAAACGTAGGTTATGAAATGAACCTGAAAAATTGAGAGGCATCTTGTTTCACATAAGAATGTTTGCCTAACTGATATGGATAATGGTAAACATAGTTTATTCGCTCTAGACTCCACTCTGGGTTTTGGAAAACCATCTTGAATGATCTGATACAGCAGAACTCCCATGAAACGGAAGCTTCTGTAGAAGTTGTGGATTTAGCTCTTCCTTTAAGGATCAGTACTCACTAGAAAAATAGCCCATTTTTCCCATTTTGCTCATACCAGGATTTCTCAGTTTCAACACTGTTGACATTTTGAGCTAGACTATTTTTGTTGTGGGGAGCTGTCATCCTATGTGTTATAGGATGTTTAGCACCATTCCTGGATGCCAGGAACGCAACCCCCGAATTGTGACAACAAAAGTGTCTCCAGACATTGCCAATGACTCTGGAGGACAAAATTAACCATGATTGAGAACCACTGCTCAAACCAAAGTATACTTCAAAGAGGATAAAATCTATTTGGGCCTAAGTTTGGTGTTCATACAAACAATAAACTGTAAATCCAGGCATAGATTCGGCCTATTTGGTCTTCATAATACCATAAAATCCAATGTGACTCAATTTTTTCACCTTCACATTCACTGGATTGGGTAACATATAAACACAGTCTGACAGTCTGAGAATTGGGAGAACTTGTCTGTAGTCCTGATTTTGCCACTAACTGGATCTATGACATTGGCTACACGGCTTCACCTCTCTGGCCCTCCCTTGGTTTTTCATTTGTAAATGAATGTGCTTGACTAAATTTTCTAGTGCTAAGTACAAAGAATATGAGACTCAGAATTTGATGCCACCTCAATAGTTGATACTATGGAACAGAAAAAGAAAGCTCTTTGTCCTAGAGGGAGGGAGGCTTTATGTTAAACTCCCTAAGAGCATTTAACTCCATCTCCTTGAGCACCTAAGCCAAGTACCTGTAATTGAATTTTTCTAAAAATTCAGAGAAACCTTTGGAGTAATATGTGACTAGAAATTTATCACTTGACCTCTAGGGGCGGCTCCTATGTTGAACAGCTGTGTAATGGCCACAGACATCAGTGTGGTAAGAGGGAAAGACATTTCTCTCATTACTAAAACTGTTATTAGAAATCTGGGACTTGAAGAGATACTGTAGTAACTACCAAAACAACCCCAAACCCTATACTGTACATATATAAGACCAAATCCTGAGATAAAAATGAATAAATCTTGTATCCTATAACTTTGGGTGCTGTGGTATCTTTAAAACCATGACAGAAATAAGTAATATTTTTATTACCTTTGTAAACACAGGAGCTGCAATGATAGGTTTTCCATCCAATCCTTGCAAGTAATTGGTGGGGCTCTGACACTGGTAGAAGGGAACCAACAGTAGATTCATTGTTACTAAGATCATTAGATGGACAGTGAGACATAACAAACCTATATAATTTGGTATATGAAATGCATCCCAAACCAAAAAACTGATGCAGAATCACCGATGTCAAATTTTAGACTGAACTGACTCTATTTCTCTTTAGGTCATAGTGGCTATAAAATATGTGCTGCCTATCCCCATGGCACCCCTTCACATATAGATCTATGAATCTATGTCATTAACCCTAAACCTCCAAAGAGGCTCCATAGGACCCCTGGGGCTACAAAGACCACAGTTTGAAGACCAGTGGATTAGAACTAAAACTTGACTCCTCTGCACTACTAACTGGGTTGGATAATTTTTAAAAAGAGGTTGAAGATAGATATATTTAAATATATTGATGATCAATAAAGAACTATATCAGGCTGGGTATGGTGGCTCACAGCTGTAATTCTAGCACTTTGAAAGGCTGAGGTGAGAGGATGGCTTGAGGCCAGGAGTTCAAGATCAGCCTGGGCAACACAGTGAGACCTTATCTCTACAAATAATTTTTTCAAAAATAGAAAAGAATATATATATATAAAAGAAATACATCAATAACATGTTATAAGTATAGATAGTATGACTTCATATGTTTTAAAGTCTACACATATATATATGTATTCTTCTATATGCATAGACAATGCCTGGAACTACCCACTAGAAACTACTAACGTGAGGTACCTCTGAGGAGTGAAGGCACTGGAATAGAACCTTGACTAAGCTTTTTACTTAATACATTTTTTGCGGGGGTGGGAGGACAGGGTCTTACTCTGTTGCCCAGGCTGGAGTGCAGCTATGCTATCACAGGTCACTGTCGCCTTGACGTCTCAGGCTCAAGTGATCCTCCCATGTCAGCCTCCCAAGTAGCTGGGACCACAGGTGCATGCCACTAGGTCTGGCTAATTTTTTTTTCTTTTTTTTAGAGATAGGGTCTCGCTATGTTGCCCAGACTGGTCTCAAACTCCTGGACTCAAGCAATCCTCCCACCTTGGTCTCCCAGAGTGCTGAGATCACAGGTGTGAGCCACCACACCTGGCATACTTCTGTATTTTTAAATTGTTTTTACAATAAGCATGTATCACTATTATTAACTTGAAGGATGAGAGCCTTTGCTGTTTTCCAAAAAATAACTACATGCTTGCTTCATCTTAGAAAGTGGAATTCTCTGCAGCTCCATGAAACGAATCAGGTTTTATGATATAGGGTGTTTGTTCTAGGCCAGTCTGAGAGCTGGCAGCTCACTGCATATGTAATCAGTACCCTTTAGGAAGCTGAGAAGCCAGGGACTAATTTGTAAAGCATTTCTTTTCCTCAGAAATTTGCCTAGGAAGCCCGAGAATATGTTCCCAAAGCAACAGGAACCACTGCTCTCAAACACCAGAAATACAAGGTGATTATCCTGATGATGGAGTTGCACCTGAGAAGAACACGGATCATGCCATGCAAGATGGTCATGGTCACCATGCCTGTCTGTCACAGTGGACGGCACTTGTGTTTCACTTAGATTCTTGTACCTGCTGGATGGTTGCCACACCAGGTTGGGCCACCAAATGCTGGGCTTGGGGTACTGCTGGAGGAATGGCTGCAGAGGTAGTGGGAGGAGATGACACCTCATTTGGCTTCTGGATTCTGAGAAATTATTAAAATACAGATTATAAAACAGACCTATCACTCTTCGTGAAAATTATTTTAGGAAAACTAGTAATGGCATCACTGCTTACAGGTGAGTGTAATAAAAATCTTGGTTTGATGATATTTTACAAACATTGAGCAAGGGCATTTTTGCCACACACTTTGTTAGGCAATGCAAACATGAAAATGAGTAAGACACTATTCCTGTCCTTGGGCCGTTGTTCTCAGTGTAGCCAGGGAGTCAAACATATTAACAGTTAACTGAGATCCAAGACAAATGCGGTGACGGAACCACGTGCAGAAGGTAATTTTTTGAGATTCGTTTTGTTGTTACCCTCGGTAGTTTCCCTCCCCCTCCCATTTCAAGTAAGAGGCCAGGCTTTGTAAATCTATACCTCTTATCCAAGACAGGGTCTCATATATATAAAACTTAACCTCTGAGAATTTGGCATGACAAAAAGCAGAAATGGCATAAAGTCAACAAGCTCTTCAAGTTTATACAAATTAAAGAGAGTATTTGAAGGGCAAGAGAGCCAGCAAGTATTCTTGAGAAGGCTGCAGAGGGGAGATTATTTTAGTTTTGCTATGGAAGAGACAGAGGTCTGTGGATCTTGCCAGAGAACCTGACCCCAGGGAGAACCTGCGTCCAGAGGGGAAGGCCATCTCTCTCAGTAAAGGACTCTCAGTCTTGTTAAAGATATCAGTAATTACACATGTCAGAAAGCAACAAGCTCTGGGCTTGAAGGGAACTTGGAATTTGGGACATGGGTCTCTCACCTGTAACCCATGGATAGATGACTGAAGACAGAGGGCTTTCCTTTGGTCTAGGGGTTATATCTTTTTGCCTCAACTTCCTCATCTCTAAAATGGGGAAATAATAATTCCTGTGGGGGGCACGGTGGCTCACACCTATAATATTAGCACTCTGGGAGGTTGAAGTGGGTGGATCACTTGAGGCCAAGAGTTTGAGACCAGCCTGGCCAATATGGCGAAACCCCATCTCTACTAAAAATACAAAAAAATTAACCAGGCATGGTGGCGTGTGCCTGTAATTCCAGCTTCTTGGGAGGCTGAGGTGGGAGAATCGTTTGAACTTGGGTGGCAGAGGTTGCAGTGAACTGACCTCGCACCACAGCACTCTAGCCTGGGCAACAGACAACACTCTGTCTCAAAACAAACAAATAAGTAATACAAAATTTTTATCTCATAGGGTTTTGTGAGGATTAAATGAGATAATTCAGGTAATGTGTTTAGAATGGCACTTGCTTCAAAACTGCTCTCTCTCTCTATGGCTCATTGTAAAACTGTGAGGGGGAAAGTGACACTCAATACCAGACTGAATGTTTTCCCCAACCAGGCATCATCTGGTCTCAAACAGAGTGATGTGCTGATGCAGAGCCAATCAGTGTGTCCAAAGCATCTGTTTTCTTCTTCTACAATAATAGAATACCTGATTTATTTACGACGTTACTCCAAATAAAGACTACATATCCCACATTCACTGCAGCTAGGTGTTGCCACACGAGTACTTTCTGGTTATGGGATATGAGGGATAGTGGTATATGTATTTTAAGAGAGATGACCTTAAAAGGCTGACAAGCCTTTATTTCTTTCTATTTTAGCCTAAGAAGATGAGGGCAACATCTCAGCGTGAGATAAAGCAGAAAACAGGAAGCAGACAGGAGCCTAGTGGAATGTGGAGTCGTTTTACCCACCAAATTTAGATTTGTATGTAAATATGAAATAAATATCTGTTTCATTTAAGTCACAGTTAATTTGAGTCTCTATGATACACACCTGAGGCTAAATCCCAACAACTACAAGTAGATTTAGAGCAAAGAAACAAATGGAATATTTCTTGATTATTTAAGTTTATAGATCAAAATTCATACCCCTTAGGTTTGTAACACATTATGGAAGTCACAAGGAAGGAGTGATGCTTGTGCAATAGGGGAGAAGTTTATTACAGAGTTCGAAGAGAAAGAACATTTAAACTGGGTTTTGTAGGATAAATAAGAGTTTGCTAGACAGAGAAGATAGGGCAATCCTAGCAAAGTGAATAGCTTGAACGAAGGAGTGAAGAGGAACTATACATGACTTGGGTGAGATGTCAACAATGTAGACAGCCTGAGGTGGAGAAGGGAGGAGGGGACAGAAAAACTTGGTTGATGCTCTACTGAATAAGGCTTTGTATGTATGCCATGTTAAGATTTTTTTTAAATGTTGCTGCTTGTTTCGTGTTTGATTTTCGTTTTCTCATAGATAATAATCTTTTTCTGAGTCAGAAAAACAATAGGATCAGAATCTTGATCTCTTTTAGAGAATAACTGGTTGTAGTTTGGACACTGTAAAACAGAGAAAAAGGCAGAAGCAGACAGAAAGCCCTCTAAGGAGGCGGTTGGCATAAAAGGCAGGAGAGAAGGAGGAGTTAACTCAAGGCCACGAGAATGATAAAGGAAGGGGGTCAAAGAGGGATCATTTACTCTGGTTATGAATGTTCATATCTGCACAAAAGCTAGAAGCAACTTATCATTTCAAGGTAGGCATACACAAAGGATTTCTGCACCTAAGGAGCTCATCCTCTGTAGGGAGTAAATTGGAAAGATTCAAATTAATCTGCTAGGCAAGACTTAAGCAAAAGTAGGGTCTTCTTCAAATCCACTCAGTTTGTTTAATTGTTTAATTCATTTAATTTTGTGGTCAAACCCTGGAGCCGCCCTCCTTAAGTTCTAGTAACCAATTAATAGCGCTTTTTAAGCTATTAATTGATCTGAGGATGCTAAAGCTATAAGACAGAAAATCAGAATTACCGATTCATCTCTTCCTTGTTAGGGTCCCCTTCTGAGTCAGAAGAAGAAACCCCTGGAAAAATAAAAACAAGACACAAGATTGTTAAGATGATAATTTCTTAAATTGGTTCCTAAACACGACATAAGATTTTTAAGATGATAATTTGTTTACCTGATTCCTAGATATCTGAATACCTACAGAATCTTAGAAATGAACTCAGTGATTCCCTACACTAACACCCAACTTAACAAACGAGGAAATAGGCCTTAAGAAGTTGAAGGAATTGCTCAAGGTCACATGTCTAGTTAGTGCTAGTGTTCAAATTAACTGACTCAACTTCTTTTTTTTTTTTTTCTTTTTTTTCTTTTTTGAGAGAGTCTCACTCTGTCACCCAGGCTGGGGTGCAGTGGCGCCATCTCGGCTCACTGCAAGCTCCGCCTCCCGGGTTCACGCCATTCTCCTGCCTCAGCCTCCGGAGTAGCTGTGACCACAGGTGCCCGCCACCACGCCCGGCTAATTTTTTTTTGTATTTTCAGTAGAGACGGGGTTTCACCATGTTAGCCAGGATGATCTCGATTTCCTGATCTCGTGATCTGCCCGCTTCGGCCTCCCAAAGTGCTGGGATTATAGATGTGAGTCACCGCGCTCGGCCACTGACCCAACTTCTAAGTGTTCTTGTATGTAAAGCACCTGCTGATGCCTTTGGCCTAACAAAGCAGTATTTGCAGACATTCTCTGGTGTTCATAAGTCCTCTTGCTCTTGGCCTACACAGATTGAATATAAGAAGGGATTACACTGGATTCCAAACACTGTAGGTGTAGGTGGATCCTCTTCCGTTCAGTCTAATATTAACGAGTCATACTTCATCGTGAGAGAGGGGGTGTTTAAAGTCTTTTTGCCACAAAGAAAAAACAAAAACAAAAACCCAGCAATTGAATCTCAGCACTGTTAGCAGAGCTTTGATCCTGGATTTACTTCTCAAGATAGTGCATTCCACGAAGATATAACACAGCTAAATCTGGAGGTATTTATTGGACTCCAAAAATGTGAGGATAAAAACACATACACATACAACACATTTCTATTCATGTATTTATTCAAAAAATGTTTACCAAATACTCACTATGTACTTGGTACTATGTAAGTACGTTGTACAAATACATATTGGAGATGTAAATAAGTCCTGGCCTTACAATCTAGTTGATAAATGGGCATCTATACCATAATAATATGTTTAAATGCTAAAACCAAGGCATACATAAAGTATTATTGGTTAAAAACAACAAAAAAAAAGGTGCTAAAGAATGATCTGCAGACAAAATTCAGAGGATAAGATAAAATAGGAGCACAAATTTAGGTAGATACAAAGGAGCATAAGTTGATTTTTTTCGCCCCAAATTAATCATATAAACTTGATGCCAATGTAAATGCCTTTCCAGTGTTCCCAAATGGTATCCATGCATCTACCCTTGACTCCCTGCAGTATATTCTCAAACAGCAGCCAGAGTGACTGTTAAGTCAGATCGTCCAGGTGCAGTGACTCACACCTATAATCCCAGCACTTTGGGAGGCTGAGGTGGGCGGATCACTTGAGGTGAGGAGTTTGAGACCAGCCTGGCCAGTATGTTGAAACACCATCTCTACTAAAAATACAAAAATTAGCCAGGTGTGGTGGCACACGCTTGTAATCCCAGCTACTTGGGAGGCTGAGGCACGAGAATCATTTGAACCCAGGAGGCGGAAGTTGCAGTGGGCCGAGATCGTGTCACTGCACTCCAGCCTGGGCAATAGAGTGAGACTCCGTCTAAAAAACAAAACAAAACAAAAAAACTAAGATCATGTTATGTCTTTGCTCAGAATGCTCCAGAACTTCTCATCTACCTCAGGGTCAAAACCAAAGTTCCTGTAACGACCTACAAGGACTTTTGTGGTCTGCTTACCTCCCTCCTTCCACCTCCACCCCGTCTTACCTTTCGACCTCATCTTCTGTTACTTTCTTGCTCACTCCACCCTGGCCACATTGGTTCATCTCTGTACCTTAAGACAAGCACACTCCTACCCTCAGGGCCACTGTACTTGCTGATTTTTCTGCCTAGAGTAAATTTCTCTCAAAGGACCTTGTGGCTCATTCCCCACCCCTCCACCTCCCACATTCACACATGTGCTATTCCCATCTCTTTTTCTTGCTTTTTATTTCTTTCACAGTGTTTATATAAACCTATCATATCATATATTTTATTTGTTTATCTTGTTTATTTTCTGTCTTTCCCATCATGTAATGTAAATCATCAGTAAATGAGCCTAAGCATTTTTGTCTACTTGGTTCACTGCTGTATCCTCATTGCCTAGAATAGCGTGTGGTAGAGGAGGCCCTCAATAAATATTTATTTAGTATAACTAAATGTCTTACTATTAAGTGTCATATACCTTCTATATAAATCTCAGCAGAAGTTGAATCTGTCCCATAGATGTTAGAAGCAAAGCAGGAATAGCGTCCTGTGTCCTCTTCAAAGGCTTCCGCAATGGTCAGTGAGTGCAGATTTCCTGCCTGGACGATGTGAATGTCTGGGGAATTTTCAAGCTCCTTGCCTTCACAGTACCACCTGCAGGGAAAAGAATATGGTCATTGGACATGACCCAAATGCGAGACAGTAACATTGACAGCTCCAGATATTCTCTTAAATGAGCTTCATTTAAAGTCAGAATCAACAACAAAAAACCCCCATCATTATAACATTATTTTTTTATAACAGTGAGAAGAGTTGGCAGTATTCAAACCGCGTTGACACCACACTCAGGAAATTAGAAAGTAGCTCCAGTTAAGAATGGTACAACTGAGAAAACTGGTGAGAAAGCAGGAACAGCCAAGTACAAAGATCGGGGTCTTTGATGCGGAACTTGGCTTCTCCTAAAATGACTTTCTGATTCCTATCATATGCATTAAGTGCTACATTAGCTTATGTAGAGAGAATGTAAAAGATAATACAAGTTCGTAAAGTTGAGGACACTCATTTCTTTCTATTAAGTTTCATCTGACCTAACTAAATGAAAATTAATTTGTTCTGTTACTTGAACCATCAGAGTAAGGAGGAGGGGTCATATTCTCCCAGGAGTGGCCCAACTCTGGCAAATAACCCACGGTAAATATGTTTCTATAGGTTACTATATTTTCTTTCAATTCTATATCCTTGAAGTTAGAAATTTATATTACAGCCTAGTTTTCTGGCCAAAGTTTACCAAAAATACTATATAAAATAATGTTTAAAATGTAGAGGTGCATAATAAGAGAAATGGACATTAAAATTAAATGGAAATTCCATTCTTCACCTAGAAGATTGGCAAAAGTCTAAATGTTTGACCACTCTTATGCGTTGCTAGTGTGAATGGCATAAACCCTATGAAAGAAGTCTGCCAATACTGCCAGAATTACAGATGCAAATATCCTTGGACCCAACAATCCCACTTGTGGGAATCTTGTACAGATCCACTTGCATACGTACAAAATGACGAATGTATAGGCTACTCATTCAAGCAGCAAAACATTGTAAACTATTCAGGCATTCATCCTCAGGGGACTGATGCAGCCACACAATGGAATACTATGCTGCTCTAAAAAGAAGATGAGAATGATCACTGTGTACTAACATGGAAAGAATCCCAAGATATATAATTGAATTTTAACAGTAAGGTGCAAAAGAGTGCATATAGGGTGCTAGCCTTGTGTGAGAAATGGGGTTTACGGGTTGCATTATGTCGTCCTGCCATAGATATGTGGAAGTTCTACCCCACCCCCATACTTGTGAATATGACCTTATGGGGGACAAGAAATAAGATACGTTCATGTTGTTTGCATTTGCAGAAAGAAAATTGGAAAGAATAAAATGCAAATCATAAGCGGCTATTAGGGGCAAAGGGAAACAAGATGGATAAGGACAGATAGGAGTGAGATGGCTCAATGTACCCTTTTTTTTTTTTGAGATGGAGTCTCACTCTGTCACCCAGGCTGGAGTGCAATGGCGCGATCTCGGCTCACTGCAACCTCTGCCTCTTGGGTTCAAGCGATTCTCCTGCCTCAGCCTCCCAAGTAGCTGGGATTACAGGCGCCTGCAACCATGCCCAGCTAATTTTTGTATTTTTAATAGAGATGGGGTTTCGCCATTTAGACCAGGCTGGTCTCGAACTCCTGACCTCCTGATCCGCCCACTTTGGCCTCCCGAAGTGCTGGGATTACAGGTGTGAGCCACCACGCCTGGCCTGGCTCAATGTACCCTTTTACATTTTTTCATTTTTTGAAATAATAACTGTTAATCAATTTAATAAAAAGTAATTAACTGGGAGGTATAATAACTACTAAGTGTCAAAAATTAAGTAGCCCTGGCAGTTGCTAATCTTTCCTGTAATTTAGATCTAATCACTCAGTGCTGAAATCCGTCTTCTCCCTCCTACCATTTATACAGCAAGATTCTTTTTTTTTTTTTTTTTTTTTTGAGACCGAGTCTCGCTCTGTCACCAGGTTAGAGTGTAGTGGTCCGAACTCTGCTCACTGCAACCTCCGCCTCCTGGGTTCAAGTGATTCTCCTGCCTCAGCCTCCTGAGCAGGGACAACAGGTGCACACTGCACACCACCACACCCAGCTAATTTTTGTATTTTTAGTAGAGACAGGGTTTCACCATGTTGACCAGAATGGTCTTGATCTCTTGACCTTGTGATCTACCCGCCTCAGCCTCCCAAAGTGCTGGGATTACAGGCATGAGCCACCACGCCCGGCCTCCTTTTTTTTGGGGGAGGGATGGGTCTCACTCTGTTGCCCTGAAGTGCAGTGGCATGATCATGGCTCACTCCAGCCTCAACCTCCCCGGACTCAGGTGATCCTCCCACCTCAGCCTTCCAAGTAGCTGGGAGCACAGGCACGTGCTGCCACACCTGGCTAATTTTTGTATTTTTAGTAGATATGGGTTTTGCTATGCTGCCCAGGCTGGTCTTGAACTCCTGGGCTCAAGCAATTCATCTGCCTTGGCCTTCCAAAGTGCTGGGATTATAGGAATGAGTCACCACACACATATTGCCTTTAGGTGAAGGCAAGATTCTAAAGCACACTGAAGAAAACTCACCTGTTCAACTACTTCCCAACAGTCAAGCTATTCTTTATTATTCCATGAATATGTCATGGTCACGCCCCAACATTCAAGTCTGCCCATGTTTTTTCTCTCTGAGATTCTCTTTTTCTGCCTTTCAGCTACTACAAATATTCTGCTCAGATATCACCTCCTCCACAAAGCTATATTTTACTATCAATTCTGAATAATTGTTATGTTTTCTAACTTCACCTAAAAAAAAAAAAACCCATATATTATGTCATGCAAATACTTGATTACACACTCTTTTATTATTTTCATCAAACTTCTGCTCAGATATCACCTCCTCCACAAAGCTATATTTTACTATCAATTGTGAATAATTGTTACATTTTCTAACTTCACCTAAAAAAAAAAAATACTATGTCATGCAAATACTTGATTACGCACTCTTTTATTATTTTCTATTTTGAAAATGTGTCCAGTTTCCTAGGTTGTAAATTCTTTGAAGGTAAAGACAGTGTCTTAGATGCTCTTGTAAGCATCCACAGTGCCTACCATAGTTTTCTATATACTCTCTCCTTTGGCCTTCTTATCTCATCCTATAATTTCAATTATTACCTCTATTTGGGACAACATCCAAATTTGCCTTTCCAGCTCTGATTTCTGGACCACATCTCCCATCACTCTTCCCTTCACTACGTTCCAACCACATTGGTCTTTTGATTCTGTGAACACATAAGCTTTTCCCCACTTTGGAATTTTGGTACTTCCTGAAACCCTCCTCCCCCAGATCTTTACAAAGATAGGTCCTTCTCATGAGTCAGATCTCAGCTGAAATGTTGCCTTCTCAGAGAGGCCTTCCCTGACCCTCTTCCCAATATAGCCCCCTTATCCTCAGTCACTCTAGCACATTACCCTCTTTTGTTATCTTCATAACATTTATTACTATCTGAAATTGTCTTATATACTTGTTTATTTTGTTGTGGTTTGCTCCCTTCACTAGACTGCAAAGTGCACGAGAGGACCGTATTGGTCTTATTCACCACTACAATGCCAGCACCTACAATAGCGCCCTGGAACATGGTAGGAACTCAGAAAACTAAGTGTTTGATAGGTTTGTTGAAAGATTGAATGATGGGAAAAAATTCATAGTTAATATTTTCTAAGTATTTGTTATTTACTTCATCAAGTTCTATGGCAACCTTTGATTTCTGCTGTGGCAGCAGCAGTACATAGAGCTGCTGAAATGGGTTCATAAATCTCCCAAAGCATAAAACTACCAAGACCACAAGGAGCTTGTACAAACAAATCCTCAGAGCATGTGCAGCTCCAAATTCAAATACTGGATGTCCGATTAAACATGACATATGGATCACATATATTTATCTTTACTATCCTCCTGAAATGCCCCAAAAATGAGAATAAAATAATTTTTTAAAGGTACAAAACCATAAGGACAAAAAGAATGGAAGGGGAGACAATAGCAGACCTAAGACTTCAAAACGCTTGGAAGGTGGAAAGAAGGTTGAGGAGCCAGGAGATCTGAGAAATGTGGAAACCAAGTGCCCACTTGGGGATATTAGTGAAAGAAGAAGCCAATTTGTGCAGCAGAACCCCAGAAAGTTTTGGGATTTGGAGACACAAGGTTGCTGACAATGGGGGAAGAGATACAGAGCTTACAACAGGGAGGTTGGTTACAAATTTGGAAAATGAGCTTTTAGATCTCCCCACTAGGTCACCTCTCCTTTTCTGAGCCATTAGTGAATGTCCCAAAATGAAAGCTGAGTTGCAGGCTGAACCAGCAGCTGCTCCATGTTGGAGCAGGAGGAAGGGCTTCTAAACGGATTTCTCTAGGGAAAAACATGGTCCTTATGGATCACCAAAGCTGCATGGAAGAGAATATTTAGGAGAAGTTACACAAATCTGTTGGCGAATTAAGACAAATTTGCAATAGAAAAATAGAACTAAGCATTTAAAAAAAAATAGTGTCATCCACTTTAAGGTCAAAATAAAGAGTTGTATGAGCAAAGAAACATTCACTTTACCCTACCAGGCTTGGTAGTGAACAATACTTAGGTAGTAACAGGATGGTAAGCAGTTTTCTAAACCACAGTGTGATGATTATAATGAAGTGATAAAGAAAAGAGCAAGGGGAATGCTAGTGTAAGGGGTGCTAACCCTTCATCTTGCAGAATAGGAAGTCAGCAGAAATAGCTAACATCAGCAAACCAAGCAAGCAATAGTGGTAGAAGCATATCACAGTGGTTCTGAAGGTGTAGCTCACTTTCTGTGAAGACAGAACCAGTTTTATATAATGCAAAGGTATTATTTGCCTTTTCATTGTGTTAACATTTACACTGATGATGCAAAAGCCACTGTAGGTCTAACTGCTGGTGCTTTAGCAACACAAATTAAAGCACTGTTGCAAAACTGATTAGTGGTTATTGCATTTACCACCACACTTGCTGTTTAAAAAAAGAAAGAAGAAAGAAAAAGAGGCCAGGTGTGGTGGGTGGCTCACGCC